TCATTTAGGTTCTAATCGCTTTGCATAATCTGCAAAGCATTCCAAAATATCGAGTCTGCTACTTTTAAATCTCGCAAATTCTTGCAAGGTATTCCAATATTTGTTATCAAGCCTCACAAGGGTGGTGTACCCCGGGCTGAATAAACCAAACACCTCAAACTTGGGTTATTAAACCAGCGTGAATGAAGAGGTTTGCAGCTGGCACATATCTCTGAGGAATTCGTGTTTGTAGAAGTTAGGGTGCAGTATATGCTGATTTAAGATGATGCGAACTGAGGTCTTTTGGTTTTAAATATTTCTGATTGTGTTACGCAAGACGTTATCGTGTTCCTATCGAATATTTTTGCTGCCTCATGTTTTACTATATTTTTCGTTGTTGAGGTGGGATTTTTGAGTGCGATTCTGTTCTGTTGGGAAGTTCCCAATAGTGGTGGTCAATTTTGTTGAAACAGTATAGTCCCAAATTCAGAATGTGGATCTACTATCATATTGTGTTTGACAATAGATGCATGAATAGTCATTTTTGCCACCAATTTTAGGAAATTCATTTAACAATCGGTGTTTGCAAGGGTTTTGGTTGGCCATGCGAAACGTTTGTATTTTATTTTCCTTGCACTGGTTTTATTAACTCAGATTGATAAAAAAATTCAGTGAAACTTGCATAATTGCCGCAATATATCCTCGCGAAGTGTTACAGTAATTTATGGGATCTTGTTTTTATTGCTAAGAACATTTAAAAGAAACGGTTGAAACCCGTACATTATTCAGAGAGCGAAAACTATGTCGGCGGTTGAAATGTTGGCGTTAGGCGATGAAGAACTACTGGTGGGTGTATGCAACTCGATGTCTAGTGATGCTATTGGAGCTTGCTTCTCTAATTCGTCTGGTTCAAGTTGTTTGGCATCGATGTTAGTGTCACTTGACCGTACAGTAATGAATACATTGCTACCATATATGTCATGATTGGTCGCATCATGTGATACACAAGAACTGGCACTAGTTTGATGTGAAGGATGAAGTGACGGATTATGTGACTCTAATGTCGCTTTAGGAGAATATTCAATAGGTCGTGATACAACTGCTCGCGTGGACAACGGTAGCGGTGGACTGTGCATTTCAACCATAACATTCTGCCTGCAATGCGATGAATTTTGCACATTTTATTGCTAGGCACGGAAGCATTAGAGTATTCTTTTATATGTATTAGAAAAGTGAGTTTTCTGAGATGGAACTTGAATAGTCATTAAGCTGGCAGGTAGAATTATGCTTTGTTGTGAGTTTTAGATAATTGTTCTGATGCTGCGATTTGTGACTACAGATATAATCATCGGTATTTTTACATACTGATTCATCTGAGATTTATTGCAGTTGTGAACTGATGCTCACAATGAAATTAAATACAAGTTGAATAACATCTTACCAAGGTGGTTTGAAATCACTTGCAGACATGTAGATACCCTCATGTTCATAAGCCTGTGATATCAATTCATTTTGTGTACGGTACATACCATTGCGATAATTATCAAGTAGTCGTTGGTATAGCTTTCTAAAATTTTTGATTTCTGATGACTGTTTATGAATTTTCTCAAATTTTGCATCCCGTTTTATTCAAACTTCACGCTTTGTAGGACCAATCGTATACATGATGAAAGTCAAAGGATTACATAGCTTTCAAACTTTTATTTCATTTTCGCTTTTTTCTGGTTTTTTTGACATCAATGCTTGAATTCTTCGATAAAGATATTAACTTACACAACATTCATCATGTATAAAGTATGCACATACTAAAGTTCTGTTGGCTCAAGTGACTTTTTCAGAATATAATACTGCTTGAAGATAACTTTTCCAGATAAAAACAGTCTCGAAAGTATTTTTCCGATCTGATTCGATCTCAAGTAATTATTACAAGTGGCAACTTGGCAACTTTACTTAATTCATAAACGAATATTTACTTTGTGTCGATGGTTTCAAGCAACATTTGTGGTAAGCAGGGGGTCGAACAATATTTTCGAACTGAAACTGATTAATAAGATGGAACAGTTTACAGTATCTGTCGTAATTAGCTGAAAAGTGCAGTTTTGCAGTCACTGTAATTGTCAACTTTTACAGCGATCAATAAAGGCATTTTATAAACATTTCAATGCACATTATAAAATATGATTTTGTCAAGCCAAATTGCTAGCCTGAATTAGAATCGTATGAAACTGCTTTATATTGAGGTGCCCATTCACAAATCTTTTCATTGGTCATTTGCAGACACTTTCTTTCCACTTCCTTTTGCAGTAAAGATTTTTTGTCATAGAGATCAGTTTCCTTTACATCGTTAATGATCTGAAGTGCTTGATTATTTGTAAGCAATTGTTTCATATGTAATAAAGAACTAAAGCTAAATTTCTTATAGCTACTGAAAAATTACGAAAGTCAAGATTGAAAAATTCAGACTTGGGCATTCTTGTCTCGATTTTCAAGAGTTATAACGCAAGCAATAATAAGGATAAATGAACCAATGCCCATCGCAACTGGTCCAAGATACTGCAGACTTTTGAATAAATATCTCTTAGTCCAGTTAGTAGACAGTTCATCGACGCCATCGTCTGATTCACGTACGGTTTCCTGAAGTTGTACTATAATACACCGCAACTGGTTTAAGAATCTTCCAATTATTTTCGAAATAAAATCGTTACAATTGCTGTCGAATCTATACAATATCATTTTACAGTAATTACGACAGTTTGGAAGATTTTATAAACACATTAATGATACAGTTCATATAACAACTTACTTATTTTCGGATATCATTAAAACGTAATTAAACCTGAGATAAATATACATCAAAGTAGCCAAGAATTGTTGTCAAAATGCCAACAGTTATAATTGCGCTACCGAAAATTACAGCCCTGCACGCCAACCACAAAGTCTGCAAAATGAAACACATTAACATTTTTTCAAGTAATAATATTAGAAGTAACAGGTCTTTCTATTGTAAATAATTGCAGAAAAGTTTAGCTAGTCATCATGGCCAAAATTTTGCTTAAATGACTAGTGTTTCAAAAATTTTATCGATCATCATTATATCACATGACATTAAAAATGAATTGCAACATAAGTAAATGTGGTTTTTATACATTTTCTGAGCAGTTCATACATGAAGAAAATATAGAGCAAACGAAAACTCTAGCCAAAAAAATTCTTGATTGAAATTGATTTTTTATAGCTTGGCTTTCTGCAAGTATTAGTTTCTGATTAAATGTTAAAAGTGAGGAATTGATTGTTGTCTGTAATAAACCGGTAATAAACCGATTAAATCACTGTAAACCAGTGACAAATAAAACTACCAATTATAGAACACTAAATTAGTGTAATATATCGCTCAGATGTATGCCAGCAAAAGGACCAGTTGTCTGTCATCTAACAAAAAATTCTTGGTAAGTATACGAAATGAACTACAGAAGAATGATTATAAGCTTGACTTAAATATCATACTTCAAGGAAATGCATTCCAATTACACATTTCCCTGTTAATGATATTTTAAAACCAAGATGATTCTCAAATTACATTATAAATTTATAAATTTGTCTTTTCCAGGTTGCAAGTTCAAATGAATTTGGTGACCATAGAGAAAGTTAAAAAGTAATTCATAATTTGAAGGGTAAGGAAGTTGCTCAAAACGTGCTTAAAAATGAAATTATCATTCTTATGGCTTTTTGCGAAGAAAATTATTAAGACTTTTGGAAAACTACTATTATGAAATGAGGGAATTAAAAAAAAGAATTCGAAATGAGTTAAATGACTGACTTCGCAGGATATTAGGCTTGCTTACTGAAAATAGAAAAACGACTTGCGATGACTCTTTAACAAATAATTCAGCTCTGAGCATTTCAATCAATACTAACAGTACTGAAGAGGATGCTATGCTTGTTGAAAAGGCAAAAGGACTACTGTTAAAGAAAGTAACTTATTTCAACCATCACCTTTCAGTTGTTATTAGACATTTTGAAAACACTAAAAATGACTGAAAAGTAATGATTGAAAAGCATTGAGTGGAATGAATGTTAATGATTGGAAAGCCTAGTAACGATTGAGAGGTATTTATGAAATTTCACATTACGATACAGCTCCCAATAGCGAGTTAGTAAATCTCCACCAATGAATCATTAAAAATTTAATAATTAATAATATGGTGCAGAAAACTAAAGGGCTGAGAGGAAAGCAAATGTTTTCTGCACAATTTTTTTTTTCCAAACACATAAAAAGCTTTATTTATTCATTCACTAATACGAGTTCTGAATTTCAGTAAAAGAAGAAATCAGAATTACGTCTAAAAGAGGAGGAATTTGAGTGGTGCTCATTTTATTTTGTATCTGTCTTTTTAATATCGCATATTTCGGGCTGTTCATATGTCAGTTGCTATGAGGCCAAGAACTTTACTTGATTAAAATATAGTCTTAATAAATCTTGTACAACTGTACTCAACACCTTTATGCACTTATTATTTAACAGCAATCTTCTCGCTGAGAGCTTCCACACTACAATAACCTATTTTGAGGAAGGAAAATTTGACAAATATTTAAATTAATTCTGCTTGCAAATACTAGCTTGAAAGTGATTAATTCGTCAGATTAATATTAATAGATTCCTAGCAAAATCTCAATGATTTCATTTCATCAATTCTTTAATTAGCATAATAAAATGGCCTTACCATATTTTGTTTTCTACAAAACTGACACATTGTATTGTTGTCTGTGCTTCATGTATTGCTGAGGTTAAAAGTTGAGAAAATTGAAATGTCAACAGAAAAAAATGAAGATGTTGTTTCTGAATTTAAAATTTGAAAAAGTGAATAAAACGATATAGAAATTTGTGTCGAAGACAGCCGTTTTGAAGACAGTATCAATATACGACATTTAGTGCTGCCAACCGTGTGAAAGCTTCAGCAAAGAAATTTCTAAGCATAAAACATCGAAATAAAATTTGGCTGGCATCGGAATGCTTTAAATCAATGAAGGGAAGCTTATAGAAAAAGCTAACATCCCTGAATCAGCTAACCTTGGTCAGAATAGACTGGTTGGTTTCTATTTATTGTTATAGACTTAAAAAATGAAGAAAGGCAAGACAACTATAATCCATGACTGACAACACTAAAACGTACATATCTTAAGCATATGCCACCCTAATTTCAACTATAATCACAAATATTTTTTCTTATTCTAAGTGATAGCATAATCTCGACAACAGTGACTTGTAATTGGTGAAAAATAAAAGAACATATATAAATATCGAAAAATTCCAGGCATTATTTATTTAATTATGTTTGTACGTTTGTGAATGTTGCAAATTTCGTTACAGAGCAGTGCTATGCATTAAAATAACTGCTAATTACTAATCTCGCTCCTCTTCTTACTCACGATCTTCCAAAAATTTTTCGGTGAACTTTGATTTTGCTAGAGAACTTACTTTGTTCTGGCTGAAAGAAATTCAACAGAAATGCATAGTAGTAACAGATGGATACATTAAACCAGGAAAATACATCAGCAACTGCTACTGTTTGCAGTGATTACCAATTACTTATCTAGTTTATAAGTTATCTGCAATGCACTAAAATATTCTTATTCAAGCAAAAATATCTGTAATGTTTAATATTTGAAGCTGCTTAGTGATATACACGTGAGTTTTTGATAAATAAAAGATACAAAAGAGATGATAGATTAGTAAATGTATTGAATTAAAAAAGTAGATATGAGTATATAAAAGTATTGAAGTAAAAAATAGATATGACGGGTATTTTTATTTTTACACTTAAAGTGACAAATTACTCAGCACCATACCAATTCTGTCATCAAAGACCAATTACTATAACCATAACAAAACAAAACTATAAAATGGTAAAGTTAAGATCAGTTAAGAATTGAGATGGTCCTGCAATGTTTAAAAGCTTAAATAGCAGTCAAGAGTAAGATTGAGCACAAGACTTTCCAAGATCAATTAACATGAGTTTGCACCTTGCTACATTTAATTACAAGACGAAGGTAATGCCGTCACGCAATAAATTTTCTCTACCTACGCAACAACTAGTTTTTTACATTTCTGGTCATTTATAAGAAAACTTATTCTCAATTCGTTTTTTTGAACGGCGATTGTAGCGAATTCATTTGCTTTAGTAATGATGGGAAGAACAAAGTGTAATACTCCCTGTTTCTCTTTCAGTGATTATGATATGAAGATGAAAAGAGATTTGCATAATTGTCTGGATGAATAAATATAATATGGGCCCTTAAAACTGGAAAGCAGTAAAGAATGATTGGGACATAATAGAATGCTGAGTTGCGTGCCAAACGCCAACCACAATGGTTTTGAATTGAAATATGGGTAAAATTGGAAAGTAAGCCTGTCTTTTCAATTAGCAGAGCAAAATAATTTCGTCGACAAGAAATGTAATCTGAAAATAATATGTTGAATTAACTTTGAAGTTGAGAACAGTTCATATATGATTATAATAACAATAAAGATCATAATTCAGAATATGTTTGATTGATTATTTAGAACTCATCTTAGAAATTCAGGTTTAAACAGTTAAAAATAATAATAATAATTACTTTTAATAATAATAATAAAGATGATTATTATAATAATGACAAGCTTTAAATTTATCTACTCATTTTCTTGAATCAATTACGGTTATTTATTGTAAATATTATTATTATTATTATTTATTATTATTATTAGTTATACTTAATATTAAGTGAAATGAGTTCAGACTTTTCCCCATTTTGCTTAAAAAAATATTGATGTTTCTGTTACTTAAAAAAATATTGATGTTCTCGTTATTTATGGTAAATATTACTATTATTAATATTATAGTAATATTTACAATAAATAACGAGAATAAAATGTTACTATGACCGATATTTAAACATTTTAGTCTGTATTTTATTACTGTTACTGATTTTACGATTGATGTTTGGTAGCAGATTAATAACAGTAATAAAGCTGATAATTCAGAGCTTTTAATATTAATAATGAAGATGTTTAAACAGTTAAAAATAATAATAATAATTACTTTTAATAATAATAATAAAGATGATTATAATAACAATAAAGATCATAATTCAGAATATGTCTGATTGATTATTTAGAACTCATCTTAGAAATTCAGGTGCAGAATGTGTCTCTAAACTGTTTATTCAAAGAGCTAAAGACGGTAGTTTTTTGGATTTGTGTACCACTCAGTACCTTCAAAAAAAAAAAACAAAATATTGCATTCAAAGTTAGTATTATTTTTTAACATTTAAATGTGAACAAAAGTAAAATATTACGAATTTGGCTCTCAGCTCATGAAGTGCAGAAAACGAAATTATTTGAATAGATGCCATTACAAAGAAAAATTAATCTACTTTGTTGCAACTTTCCAATTTGCATCTATACACTTTGAAAAGATGTAAATAACAGCAAAGTCAATGCGAAACTCTCTTTGGAGACAACCAGTCTACCACATTAGCATCAAATCTTTCGATTCGGTAACAGGAGTAACTAGACTGATTTTTTTTTAAATTAGGATCAATATTATGTTAAAGATTATTTTGCAATATACCTGGACCTTGCATGGGCGAAATTTCATACTTAAATCCTCTGAAAGTAGCCTACAAAACTGCAGTTCAAAAGGAATGAGATCTTAAAGACACTATATTCAAAAAAAAATTCCTAACCTCACATTAAAGCCTTTTTGAAATCCTTTCTGATAAATTTATAATTTTCATATATGAAATATACCGAAAAATGAATGTTCATAGCTATATACCAAATTAAAGATATATGAGCATGTATGAACATATATCTTTAATTCGAGTTTTGTAATTTGCAACTGTTAATAATAAACGGCAATAATAATCATATTAACAATAATGATATCTCCTGTTACATTAATAAAACTTTAAGAACAGCAT